TCTATCTATCTATCTATCTGTCTATCTATCTATCTATCTATCTATCTGTCTATGTATGTATGTATGTATGTATGTATGTATGTATGTATGTATATATATATATATACATATACATAGATATGCATACATATACATACACACATACATCTGTAGAAATAGAAAGAATGAGAAGCATAGATATACGCAAATATGCATACAAGCACACATGTAAGTTCAACCATATCAGTATGAATATGGCTGTAGCATTGAATATAGACAAAGAGTCATTACATAAATGAAAAAGTAGTTATCTTCACAACATATAAAGAGAAATGAACAAATGCATACATTAAGCAGATAAGTAAAAATAGGCAAACAAATATTCATGACTATGAAGACACATGAATAAACAAGTTCGACAAATGAACATTATATGTATATATATATATATATGTAGATGGAAGGTAAGCAAACACAGACATAGGTGGGAACCCCGGGCACGTCGGAGGCGCCACATCGCCCATGACCTCGACGCACACCTACGCAGGCAGCTGGAGCCCTAACCTTCACCTCAGCTCCAATATCCCTTCATTAAGGAATATACCTTAAATCATATTAAGGATCCTACTATAATTTAAGGTATATTCCTTAATTAAGGGGTATTGGAGTCTGCGGGTTCACCTCAGCTCCATTCTGCGATTCAGGGGTTTAGGGTTTAGGATTTAGGGTGTTTAGGGCCTTGGCGATTTTCAATTTTAGGGGGTTTGGGGATTTCAGAGCTAATGCGCCTAAACCCTAAACCCTAAAGGGTTTGAGGGTTTTGGAGTTTGGGGTGTTCTCCAAATTAGGGTCCGTCTTGTCTTCACGAAGGATACTGTATGTCGCCGTTGCCCCAAAGCTCTAACTCTAACCCCTACTCCAAACTCCAAACCCTGAACTCTAAACTCTAAACCCTGAACCCCGAACCCTAAACCCTGAACGCAAACCTTAAAACAAACAAAAACCCTAAACCCTAAACCCTAAATCCTAAACCCTAAACCCTAAACCCTAAACCCCGAACCCTGGCAAGTCTCTCACTTCAGAGAGGACGTGCGATCTGTCCTTGAAGCCCAAGGTGTAAGCTGAAGTGTAAGGGTTTAGGGTTTAGGGTTTAGGGTTTAAGGTTTAGCCTTTAGGGTTTAGGGTTTAGGGGTTAGGGTAAGCTGAAGTGTAAGGCCGTGCGAATTAGGGAGTTTCCGAAAACAAGGGGTACCTTCTTTTGGTGCCCTTTGAAGAAGGATCCTACTTTTTAGGGTACTATATTAGGGTCCCCTATTTTCGGAAACCTCCAATCAGGGTAGGGTTTTGGGGCGAAGAATACAACAGAATATTCTAGTTCTATTCTATTCCATTCCAGTCTCTTCCGCTCCATTCCAGTCCATTCGATCCCATTCCATTTTAGTCTATTCTGGGTTTGTTGCCATTCGGTACCCGAAGAATAGTACGACTGATGATTCAGGTTTCTATTTCAGGAACCTTCGTCCGTTTCGAAACTTGCTTTTGATGCCGGCACGGTTTAGGGATTAGGGGTTTGGGCTCTCGGGTTTAGGGTACAGCATCATATCATGGGTGCACTGGAAGGTTTCACTTGCTACTTGCTGTTTGGGGTTGAGATCGGCAACAAGTATGACTCTTGCGGCTTTTGACGCCACTCACTTCTGATATCATGACAATGATGCCACTATTGTTGTGGTTGCTGCTCTGCTGCTGCTGCTGCTGCTGCTGCTGCCTCTGCTGCAGTTTTTGTTGTTGACTTGACTAGATTTCCCAGTTGGCCTTCTTATTTTTTTAGGCTCCTTATCAAAAACCGAACAGTAGGAAAAAGGGTACCCTTATGATTACGGGGCTACTGGGCAACCTAGTTGATAATCTGGAGGGCTGCGACAAGATCCACTCCATGTGATGACCGTGATGCATGCTACGGTTAGTTTACTTTCACTGTGACTGCGCAAAGGGACCCCATATAAACCCTTGAACTCCGAAAGTCACCCTGTGACGAGAACCAGCTGAAGACCTACCGCGTGAGCTTCTGCACGACGTGCATGGAGAGAGGTTTCCAGCTGTGCAGCGCGTTGGCATGAACGTTGCCACGCAATGGGGTCTGCTGATGTCAGGCAGCGTCCGGTTCGTGATCATCATTTTCAACTCCAACACGGAGGATGGTCAGAAGACGTTGACGTTCATCCAGCATTTCTACGAGGACTTGATCAGCTGGGGATGTTTGGTCCTGGCCACCATGGACGGCATTGACGGTTTCCATTCCTGCAAGCGCAAGAATGCCGCGCACAAGCTGGCATTAGCCCTCTGACAAAATGAGAAGGCCTTAAATTAGACAGGGATCCCTAGTATAGCTTCAGGTATATGCTTTATCCAGGCACGACTATGGTCCCGAATGTAAGAACCTGATCAAGAAACCCTGGCCCTATAACCCCAACTATAGTAGGATTCATAAAAAGAAGGGTTTCTTAATCAGGCTCCTACATGATACAGACCCTTGACAAAACCCTGTTGCGCCACCAGATGAACTTCACTAACATCTAAACCCCAAACCCCAAAGCTTAAACCCTGACCCTTAAGCCCAAAGCACCTTTGAACCAGGTGCTTTTGAATCTCTGAGAGCCATAAACCCGAAACCTTAAGCCCTAAACTTCAACACGGTAGACCCGAAACCCAAACCCTTATAAGCCCTATTTGGGGATCCGAAAACCTACCCCGCTTTAAGGGCTCTACCCTCTAGTTAAGGGGTCATACCCTACTATTTTGGAAGTCTTGGGGTCACAGGCA